TTCTTATCAATCACAGTCTAAGAAATTAGAACTTTTTAAAGGATTTGCATATCAATGCATATTTGGCATATATTGTAGCATATTTCTTAATATCTTGTGCATATTTTTGTGAAAATACGTGCATATATGCGCATATTTTACGAATTTATTGTGCATATAATCTGAGCCTTACTGATGAAATAGACTGTCACGACATATTTTGTAGCTCGATTATAATATACTATTTCTATTTGTACATAATTTGCTTTTACTACTCTTGTTACGTAATATATTTTTTTAATTGTCTCAAAAAAAGTACGCATCATAATTTTCACAGCTTGCAAGTAGCTAAACTTTAGTTTTTTGTGTAAATTTATAGTTTTTATTTAACAAATTCAATTATTTAACAAAGAAGATTGTTAATAAATACAAAGCGAGATAAATGGGCTGCGAAATTTTTTATGTTTATATGTTCGTGTGTAACATGTGTTAGATAATTGTTTGCGTTGTAGTCTTAGCTGGGGTGTAATGCATTAGTTAATTTTTCTCTCTTTATTAAAAAGTACGTTCCTGGAAAATTACAATTGCGGTCTGAATGATTAAATTTTTAGTTTACATTTTGACAATTGAAGCTTTTTTAAATGCGACTTAGAAATTTTAGATATTAAAAAATATTAAAACATACAAGTATTATAAGAGTGAAATAAGGGATGAAAAAATTGAAAAATAAGTCAACTGTGAACTGAAATTTTTAAAATGAAATAAAATATGAATTTTATTATTTTATATTTTGAAAGTGTGCAATTTTTTGAAGATTTTAATTTCTGTGTGATATAGTGATAACAACTTTAAAAGAAAAACAATTTTTTGAACTAAACATAACAATAAATTTTGGAAAAAAATTCTTCTAATTAGATAAATTATTTACATAAATAAGTGCATTTGTAATCTCTACTTATGTGTGTATCGTATTGTGTAGAAGTTATTTTATTAATTAACAAACAAATGAAGATGTTGATGAAATATAATTAAAATGTTTGCATGTATGTTTCAGATGAGGTAACAAGCTTCAATTAATTTACCTCGTCATTAATAAAATATCGCATTTTTAAATTAAAAATCTATTATTTTATTTTCTAGAAAGTTTGAATAGGAAACTATTTCCTGCATGAAATGTCGATTTAATCCGATTTATCGGAAGTTCGATTTGACACCACTTCCTGATCAACTCGATTCGATAAAACCGGAGCAAATTTATTACCCGATTTTTTGATTCTATTATTCCGATTTTTGTATGAAAACATAAATTATTATGGCAATCCGATTTGTACCTAAAAAAATTGCTGTTTATGTAAAAGTTGCTCAAGTATGTTGTGTACTTTCCCTCGTTAACTTCATATTTAATATTAAGCAGATTAGATATGACATTACTTAACTTTCTGGTGGATAATTGGAGTCACTGGTTACGCTGATAATTAATTTATTATTAAAGTGAAAAAAGTAATGTTTTCTCACGTTTTAATTACAAGTCGCTGACATTTAAATTTGCAATTTTGTATGGCAGTCTAAGCTATAATTAGCAACATCAATGTAGCTCATTGTTTTGGCATTTTAGTAAACTGTCAGTCATTTTGTATGGTTTTGTCCTTAGAACAGGTCGTTTTGTTGCTTTGACAAAACTTAACAATGAGCTGCTTACACCAAGACTTATTTTGGCTGACAATTCACAAAAGAATGAATGGATTTAAAAAAATTTATTATATCTATCTTTATATAATATCACAAAATTAATTCATAAAATGTGTACTAATATTTCAGGTGTTAAAACTATGAATTACATTTTCATTGATGTTGCGTTTCCACCAAGTTTATTCATTTGCATCGAGTTACCATGAGAGTATTCTGAATTTATCCTTTCAATAATAATATTTAGAAATGTAGACAAAGCTCCCTTTAGTATGTAACTTCTAAATTAAACTAATGTTTTGCATAGACAAAAGCACGAAAACTTGACACATGTTAAAGACATTAAAATTTAGTAAATTTGATCACTAATTTTTTTGTAATGTTAAAACCGATCAATAAAAACATCAAGTCATCGTTGTGGTTACTGTAGGTGTTAAATATTCCGAATAAAATCATGTTGGTGTTTCTCCTCCTTTGTCTTGCTATTTAAAATCATTTTTAACAACACTTTAATCAGAGATTTGCATTGCTACTCTGACAAGAAGTGTCAGTTGTATAGTAAATGCAAGCAACAGTCGTTCAAGAGGATGACGAAGCGTTCAATGAACGTTAGTATCGACCATGAAATTAACATTTTCATCCATTAAGTAATTAGGACTAATATTTTTAGAGGTTTCATACCCACTAGACTGTTGTGTGTCTACATATTTTTACGATGGTTTCACGCAACCCACACAAGAGGACGTTTTTGTTAAGCGCCGAGGACGAATTCATTGGAAATTGAAACCGTTTCTCAAACGATTTTTATACAAAAACGTTTTTTATAAAAAAAAGAACTGAATGTCGTATTTTATTTTTAATTTATTTAATAGATTTTTGTGACTTAAAACATAATATACCCAAAGAATATGACAAAACAATTTCGGTAATTAAAGCTCAATAATGGAAGAATTTTTTTATTTTATTTTTTCATATCCGAATTATACATACATGGTGATTCAAAAATGTCGGACCTCTCGAATGGCGATAGAAGACTTTCAAGTAAACATAAAAATGAAATCACATTTTTGTTTCTAGTTTTTTTTTTGAAAAAAAAAACAAATGTCAATTTTCATTTTATCATTGTCAGCATCTTTGTTTTTTGTTTCCGATGTTGTTAGATTTAATTTATACAGGGTGCGCCAGAACTCGCGCCCCAGAGATAAATGCCTACAAGGTAAGATACCACGAACATTGAAAAAATGTTAAATTTTTTTTTATCTATAAATATTTCGAAGTTATGAGGGTTTAAAGTTTGCACTTTGACTCTTATTTATTTCTGTTGGAAAAATAATTATTCAAGTTTTTTTGCTATAGGCTATTAAAAGAGAAAACAAGGAAGCTGTATGCTAAACTTTGTTCAATGTTATTTGTGGCTTTTATTGGCAAAATTTTTGTCCCTTTACTAAATAATTGTAAAAAAAACATATACAAGATCATCAGTATCCTAAAATAGATATAAAAAATGACAAATGTCAAAAAATATATGTCAAAATTTTTTGACAGATAGACTTTTTTAAACATTTTTTTCATGTTCCTGGTATCTTATCTTACTTGAAAATTTTCTCTGGGGCGCGAGTTCTGGCCACTCTGTATTTTTACAATTTGCTAGTTTGTTACATGTTTTTTATACCATAAGACACGAATTAATGATTTTTTTCAACAGGTCATTCTTACAAGATTTGCCGTTTCCGTTAACTAAATTCAAGATTACATAATCGGAACAAAAAACTTAATCTAAAATCTAATCTTTTAGCTCGTGAAAAATGACTTAAACATTTTTTTGTCATGAGAACTTTTAACTCAGGTAGACGTCCTTTATGACCACCCAAGTGATGGTCTGACACTTTTGAATCACCCTGTATACGTAACAGTTTTGTCCATGGGCTCAAATGTGAAGAGACGACTGTCTATACTTTAATAAAATCTTATTAAAAGCATCTTCTCAATTATCCATTTATAGGGAATTGTGCCCAAATTTATTTCTGCCATCACAGCCAGTAGTTACACGCTGGGGAACTATTTTTATTTTATTTTATTTTTATTTAATAAAGCACATTTACCTGAAGAAACAGAAAGTATTAAACAGTGTAAATCTTTTTCAAAAAAAGATCTACATTTAATACAAAATGAAAAAATAAAATTACTGCAGTTGTTACGAGAAATCCGGATTATAAATTATTAAAAGAAAAAAGTGAATAATTTTTCAAACAAGAAATCATACAGGCCCTAGATTGTTAAAATTGTGCATTAATAAAAAAAAGAGAACAATAGTATTTCTAAAATGATTTTTATTAAAATGGTAAATCTAAAATCTGGCAGGAAAAACCAAGTTGGGTTGATTTTCTTTGCCATATTGCTATAATCTGAGTTCATTTGGTGGATTCTCTAGAATAACATATTTTAATTGTGTAGGTGTAAGTTTGTTCTCGGAAATTTGTCATTAGAATTGAAAATTAGTTGCCTACTAAAAAAGATAAATCGATATAAAATGCAAACAGGAATGTATGAAACAACAATATTTGAGTTTTTGTAATCTTTTTCTAAAGTGTTACATTATTATAACAATAAATTGAATTCTTATAGTATCCAAACAAAAGTCCTCTTTAAAAAGAATAAGTATAGAAAGTAAGTACACGTATTCAAAAGTATTGATAAAATAAAATGTTTAATATTTTTAGTCAAATTAGTTGAAATCAAGACATTTGTATTCCATAAAAATGAATATTTAATTTGTTTTTGTATGTTACAAATGACATATGAATGATGGATAGCAAAACAGTAGCACTTTTATTTCATTTTCATTTGTTTTTCTCCTAAAGAAAACGATTAATCTTAATTGATTTATATCATTGTTTTCTTTTTCGTACTTTTTCTATTAAAGTACAAGTGTTACAAGATTTTTTGTTTTGTCGATGCGGGAAACATTGCAAGTTTAACTAAATTTAAAATTATTGTAGAGTTATTATAAACAAATTATTAAAAAATGAAAATATTCTGTTGCATAATTTTTAAAACCATGCGTTTTGTTATTTGATAATTAAGAGTATAAAAAATCCCATCCAGTTCCACTTGTTGCTTCAAAACCCGAAATTATTTATTAATTAGGATTCGTATCTACTTAAGTAATCCCCCGAAGACAAATTGCACGTGTATCTGCGGTTAAATTAAAGTAATAGCTATAAATTGGCAATAATAAGACAATTTGTTGGCCATGTTGTTGAAATAAATCTCTCTCGACCGCCTTAGCGTCTCCACTTGAATAATTTTTAAGGAAAATTTTTATTTTGTTTCAGGCAAGACAATGAACGAGGTGGGGAGTCTGGGTGTTAGAGGGCTTGCTGTGAGCCCAGACTCTGACTGCAACAGCAACCACCATGGCTCAGCAAGTTACCTCAGCAATACGTCTTCCCAAGATATAGATTTCATTCAAGACAACTCTGATTATCAGTGGTTTCTAGACTATGGCTACCGAGATGGAGGAACCAACCATCATACGAGTATTCTGTCACTTCCGGAGTCATACGAGGCCAATGATATGAATTATTATGACGCTTTGGCGAAGAATATGGACGCGAATTTGGCAGAGGCCGATATGGAGAGTTTCAGGACGGAGGATATTCACGCACTTTTGACTAATCTGCCGCCCATGTGCACCGACCATTTAAGTCAAGAAGTAAGAAAATGTGAAACAAAATCACATTTTTTACATTTTTTTTCTAGAACAATCGTCAAGGCGAAAGCTACGCAAGTGTCTCAGGTTCAATGATGGCAAAATTCGACTTTGACAGTTCTTTAAGTCCTCACAGTAGTTCACATGGCGAAGATTCGGCAAACTCAACATCAATGTCCATTTACAAATCAGAACTTCTCTTCAGTCCCGTCAAAGAAACACCAATGCCTGGCGCTAATTTTAGTGTTGACTCTCTTGATTGTGACATGATGTTGACTTGTCAAGCCAACAAAGACAACTATACCATTGCATTCGAGGGCTCTGTCATGTATTCGGAAGATAGTGACTACCACGATACTGGTATAATCACCACAATTACCTTATCACACGTAAACAAATTTGTTTTGTAGATAAAAGCGAGAATTCCGGTATCGGAAGCACTCATTGGTCCAAGAAACCAACAAACAACTGCAAATTGACCGAAGCTTCAATGACTCAGTCCGATTCGGGTAGTTTTACCACTTGGAGCAAGTTGAAGAAGAGGAGCAGTGATAACCAGCTCCGGAGACATCCTTCGGGTAACAATAACAACTCAGGAGACGAAACTAGTCATTTGGGATTAACTGAAAACTCGATCAAGAGTCAAAGTATGCCCAATTTGTACAAAAAGAAGTTGAGTTACCTCAAAAACCACAATTTTATCTCGGTAAGTCAAGTTTACTTTCATTTTCACTTTTATTAATTTATTGTTTAAAGACCGAAACTGTAAGACGAAAACCGGTCAAAGTTTTTGATATCCAACACCAAAGCAGTAGCGTATCAGACATGGCGACTTCTATAGATGCCAGTACGAGTGAAACAACAACAAATAAACCCAATTTTAGTCTTGTGAAACTCTTCATGAAACAGAAAAGTATGAGTACTGAAGGTATGTCAACAACAATGGATCAGTTATCATCAACGGAAAATTGGCCAGGGAGTCAATCAGGTGAAAGCAATTCTTCCGACTTGAAACCCGACCAACTCGACCAAAAAACGAATGAAAGTAGTGTCAGGACTTATGATTTAATAGCGGAAGAACCGGAAGAGGAGGTTTCACGGAGCGAATCAGTGGAACAACTATCAGAAAGTATCTCGAAAATTGATTACAGTGACGAAAACGTCAACAATAACAATAGCTACACTTCGGATAAAACTAAGAAAAAAGTTCTCCAACACGAATTGATGAATAGAAGCATCCAAACGTCGCAATTTTCGGAAATTACCAACTTAAAAAATGTTCATAAACCTGCCTCAAAACCGGTGAAAATTGTCGAACCGTCGTTCCTCAACAAACTCAAACAGGAGGGAGAAGTCCAAAAACCAGTCTACGTTCTTTACCCCAATTACGTTCTACCAAATTTGGACTTTTTGAACAAACAGGACGACATGACCAAAGTTCTCTTAATCCCACAAGAACCAAATCTCAAAACCGCCAACAAACGCCGACCATTCAGTTGCACCGATGTCGAAATGTTGAAAAAGAAAGGTTTCAGTCATGTCAAAGATTGGGATTCTTTGAATTTCCTTCTTCCTCAAGAGTACCGCAAGATTTTGGCCGATGTACCGGAAATTTCCGAGCATATTAAAAAATCTTCACGGAAACGGCGACCGTTCAGTTGCGACTATTCTAGTTCTAGTTCTAGTACCGCTACTCAACCTAGTAGTGGTTATAGAGGGTCTTCGACGATTTTGAGCGACTCTCAAAATAGTCCAGCGACAAATTTGAACCCACTTTTTGTCTATCGCTATGACAGCGTGACCAGTTCGGAAGCAAGTCTTTTAAATAGCGGTCAAAGATCAATAATGACAGCTCCCCCACTTCCGGTACGTTGCGTGAGTCTCCAACAAGGGGAAGTACCACCACGACCCCCACTCCCAAAGGGAATTTTGCGAAAAGTTGATTCAAAAAGGTTCAGTTTGTATGAAACGAGTGAAGAAGATTTGACCGAAGAAGGTTTATATCGGAGGAATATTTTACGGAAGAAACGCTTCAGCGAGACTGAAGATGAAGGTGTCGATGCTGGTACATCGAGTAGCAGTGTGGACGAGCACCATGACCCTCCTAAAACCGACTTTCTTCTATCCAATATAAGCACCGATGAACTGGTCCAATTGGAGGAATTTTTGAAGATTAGTAGAATTTCAACGTCCGATAATGAAGAAATGACTGAAGAAAGTCTAATGCATTTGCACTCGTATGTAGGCAAATTTCTCTCCTTAAAGATTAATCAAGACGGTCCCGGGAAGAAAACTGTAAGTTTTGCCGAAAAAGTCAACGTTTTGCCCAAACAATTCACTGCTCCGAATAACTCACCCAATGTTTCTAAAAACTACTTTGGGAGAAACCTTGCTGAAATCCCCATCTGTGAGGAGAGTGAAGGTAGTGTGAATTACAGTCCGGTACACAAACCAAATTTGGTCGAAAAACGGTCATTGGTGAACGCAGTAACCGATTCGGTTGAACAACTCATCAATCACTTCTCCTCTGCTAGTAACCAATCGGAATTGAACACTTTGGGCGACTCTGGAGCCACTCCAAACTGTGCAAAACTTGCACTTTCGACTCTATGTCCTGCACTTTATGCCGTTTTGAGCGATGGCTTGAAACCAAGCCTTGAGAGTAGTTTCGGAGCGATTAACAACTCGGTTTGGCAAGTGGTGGAAGCATCAGCTCAGCAAGGACCACTCACTAAAGCTTTGAACGAATTGGTCATGAGGATTAATAGTGAGGATGCTATAACTGAGGGTTTGGTTAAATTCAATGCGTTTGTTTTCGGGTTACTTAACGTGCGTTCGTTGGACGCTTGGGTGAGTTATTTGAAGACAAGGGAGAGTATATTGAAGAAACATTACAATAAAGATTCTTTGATTATGGCACATGTTGGTGGTTTGAGTTTGAGGACGTTGCTAGATTCGCTGATTGCTGCTTTGCAACCTTTGGCATTGCTTCCGTTTCAATTGGACCTCTTGTTTGAATATAGACAGTTACATTTGAGTTTCAAGAGATTGGAACAGTTGAGTCCGACTCATAAACATCGGAATTCGTCTAGTTCGGAAGATGTGTCAGTCGTGACAGTCATTCCTGATCTTTTGAGTTCTTCTAATCGTAAGAAAGAACGTCCAAGGTCTTGTGTCGAGTCTGGTAGTCTCCCTAAACCAAATTTCAAGCTTGGTGATGTTACAACAGCTGCGAAAAAGCGTTGGTCGGGGATTTCCTCAAATTCGAAACTTTACCTAGTTTACGATCGCCTCGCACGTGAAGATGAAGAAGAGTACACTGATAGTCTTGAAAATCAGACAAAACCGGAGGAAAACTCTGACGAAAACATCCCGAGTCTTCACTCGGAACCCCCCGAATCGCTCGACTCGAACATCTCCGATGATAAGCCGATTAACGGCCGTCGATTCAAAAAGTTGCAACAAAAATGGGAAATGTTGAGTGGGCGTGAATCCAACCCCTCTCCTCCTTTATCGCCCACCAATACCAAATCGAAGATTCCTCGTCCGATTACTTCCCCGATTAAGCCGTCGGGGATTCCGGTCCTCATTTCGCCTTCGGGTAAAAATCAGAAAACTCCGAAGAAGAATCTAGTCCAGACTAAACCGCCCACGAAACCACCAAAGAAAGGGACTTGTGTGAGGTAAGTTGTGGTATTGGAGTGATGTGTAAAATTGATATGTTACGTTTAGGACGAGTAGAGTGGATCAGGTCGAGAGTGAAACGCCAAGACATATACCAAGGCCGAGTAGTTTGCCGTATAAAGCGGTGACGGCGCAGAAAGTGGCCAAGGTCACGCCACCGAGGAGGGCGGCTTCGAGTTCCTTGAGTAGGAAGCCAGTGGGGAAGAGTCCCGTACCGAAGTAAGTAGTTTGAGATGTTACAGTATGAAATAATGGAAAAAGAAAATGGAAATAACTAATAATGAACAAACAATAACAACAACAAAAAATTATAAATGTATGAAAATAAGAAGTACCAAATTAACTCTACAAGGTGATCGTAAATGATTGTGATTTTTTGTCAAATTTAAAATTTTAGTTTGGCAACCTTGACTCTCAAATTCAAACGTCAAATTTTTGTAGGCAATTGTCATTCACTTATGAGGAACAACCGCTGGCTTAATTATTACTTAACCATCCTGGTACAACAATTAGATGGACTCCCAATAATACAGTGTTGCCAATAGTTTCTTTATGACAAACAATTATGAATGAATTTTCTATAGTACTATATAAGCAAAATATTTTGAAAAAAAATTCTTTATTTAGGTAATTTCGAGGTCGTTTAAAGCTAAAAGTACACACCTGGGCGGGGCCTAATTGCGCGCAAACATAAGAGGGGACGCGGATCAGTGGCGCCCTTTTTCAAATATTATGATAATAAAGGGAATCTATACGCCACTGCTTCCAAAAACTCCCCTCCTTTTTCAAGAGGAGTCGTCCGCGACGCCCAGGTGTATACTTTTGGATTTAAGTGACCACTAAATATAATGAAGAGAAATGAAAATGTAGTTGTATGTGATATTGTCCACTACATATTTTTTATTGAATAGTGCAATTTTCTACAATTTTCTCTAAAAATATACTTTCAATAAGAGCCAATTTATTAAGAGAATTTAATTTAATAGTCCCCTAATTTATTATGAAATCAGCCCCAAGTACCTAGTAAAACAATGAATTAGTAGTTTTTTTTTTATATCAGATGTAGAAATATAACTTCATTCCTACGAAGTTTTATAAAATTTCATAAAAAAGTGTAAACGTAAATTTAGTTTTAATAATTTTTTTGTATATCTAACTGTTATTTTTTTGCCTTGTGAACAGACATAAGTGAAATTTAAGAGTAAATTAACAAAAATATTTTTTTGTTGAAAATAAATTAAATGTACACAATGTATTTTAACATTTTATTTTGAGATCAAATTTTATTATTATACGAACTTTCATTTCTCAGTGTCCTATTTTGAAGACAGCTTCTGGCAAAACTAATAGATTAAAAAATTGTAGAACTATTTTGTGTACTAAAAATAATACTTAAATGAATATTAAAAAATAATAATTTGACTATTAATGTGTTAAACAGTAACAATCTATGCAAGACATACAAGGTGATTCACGAGGAATAATGAGCCTGACCAAATTCTCGATGCAACCACCATTACTCTTCGCAAGTTATTTTGCGACAACTGTAATGTTGGTTGCATCGAAAATTTGGTCAGTCTCATTATTCCTCGAGAATCACCCTGTATATCCATCAATTTTCACATCACTTTTGATGTAATGTTATTTTATAACCACTATTTATGTTGTATACAGTGGCATTAATAAATAAATGATCAAGAGCCACATGACTGGAATAACTAGAATAAGTAACAATAAATATAAAATATCTAAAAATATGGGTGCCACGTGGATAATTTTGAATTACCCTTTTTTGTTTTTTCAAAATACGTATTTAGCTATTGAATGAAAATAAAATTTATCAAAGAGAAATAAGTTATTTCTTAATAAATAAAATAAACACATAAGTTGTTTACTTTTATAAATTGCATTTAAAAAAGTTCCAAAGGTATATTTTACAAAATTACAGCATTTAAGATTATTTCNAGCATTTAAGATTATTTCAGAAACCCGTTTTTATCTTTTAACTGTTCTATTAACACGATTAACATATTTTTAATTCATTCAAAAATGATAAATTGGTTTAGCAATCTTTATTTAAATATTATAAAAATCAAATTTAAAACCAGTAAAGTGAAAAGAAAAAACATATTTCTGAGAATTGCATGAATCATCTGTATTTATTTTTTTATGAAAATGACTATTTTAGAAAACAAATAGTCGTTTGTTGAATATTCATTAAAGAAAAAAACATGCTCAACATTATTGTATTTATTCAAAAAATAAGTACATATTGCTTATTGCAAATATTTTTGCAGCAGAAAGGACTGTTTATTTCTTTATTCGAAAAACATTAAAATCACAAAAATGAGACAAAATCATATTCTGTTTTTACAACGCAACACTTTCGCTTCGTTCGTTTGTGCGCTAGTACAATTAATTTAATTTTTTAGGGTCGTGAGGACTCTATCTCATCGTGTCCCATCCGAAAGCGGTCACTTATCGTATAACGAGGGCGAAAGACTCAAGGTTGTGTTAGAAGTCGACGATAAATGGTTACTTTGTTGCCGAGGATCTCAGAAAGGTCTCGTCCCAAAATCAGCCGTGATATCAGCCGACAGTCGTTTCTGAAATTCCCTACAATTGTAAATATACGTAGTGTTTTTTCAGTTGTACATTTTTATACAGACTGGATTTGTGATTTTAGTATATTTTAAGTCAAAACACGTATATTAAAAAAAAGTGTATTATTGTTAAAAAGTATTAATCATATTGTTGCTTGTTGTAACAGCAAATCTGATATTATTTATTATTGCTTGTAGGATCCTATGTACTTAAATAGGGGCGCGAGTCAATCAATTGTTAGTCACCCCTTGCACGTCATGAAATTTTTGCACATATCTTAGGTGGTTGGGTTCTTGTTTCTTTTATTTTGAATCGCTCTGCTTTCATTGAAACGCTTTAAGTACTAATAAACCCATCCAAATAAGCCAATCCCAAATAACTGTAACAGCGTTTCAGTTTCAGTACTGCTTAATTGTCTTTAACCCTCACACCACTCACCCCTCCCTGCATGCTAACATGTGATTCCCCCAATTTTGCAGTACTAAAATTCGTGAAATTTGAGCGATTTTTGCATCACTGCGAGCTAATTTAGCTCAAAAGTGATAATTTTGCACTCGCTTCGTTCAATGATTCTAGTCTTTGATTTTAATTTTGAGCACCACAGCATGAGTGGTCCGAGTATTTTTGACAATACCTCCAGGATTCAACCCAGCTCATCTCTAATTTAGCACTTTGTGACGTGCAAGACAGCCGTTTCCTTTTGTTTTTGCTTCTGTCATGTGTTGCTAGATGTAATAGTGTAGGTTTAAAAATCAAAGTTTGTGAACGGGGCCTTTTGTATCACATATTGCGGGATTTTCTGGTCCAGTTTTTTCATCAGCTTGCTTTATTTGCGTCCACTATCTGTATATATTGAACCGAACGCTTTTGTGATGTATATAATGTTACCAAAGGATCGAACGATCGATCGACTTCAGCGATACTCTTTAAGTTTTTTCATTTTTTTGGGAACAATTTTTGTGTTGTAACCTCACCATAGGTGCCATAAACACCCCTTTTGTTTTCTATTTCCTTTCATTGAATCTGTCAAGATCGTAGTTAGAGACTATGGAAATAGTATAGGGATTAAAATCATGTAACTCAGTCATAATAAATGAATTATAATACATCGTGTTATTTTATTAATTAAAATACACCAAAAACTTTCTTCATTGAGTAATTTATGTCAACTTTGGAGTCGGTTTGCCATAGGAGAATGATGTAAGTTGATGCAGTGCCACAAATCTGGAAAAAAATTGAATAAAAAAATACACACATGAGTAAATAATACGGTACCGATGTAAAAATTGGTAAATCAATTAAAAACATGTTGCCAGCGTGAATTTCAAACGGTTCGTGTAACAATTGAAGACCAAAGGCGTTTATCTGAAATGATTATAAAGGTTAGTAACTGAATGTATCAAAATATACTATTTATTCACATATTTTTTAAATAACACCCTATATTTTTTATTGTATCTTATTCAGCCATTTTTTTCTACAATCATGAAAAATAGTTCATCTTCACTCATCGAAATTAATACGTAAATATAGGGATACACCAGAACTCGCGCCCCAGAAAAAAGGTAAGTAAGATACCTATCAAGAATATAGAAAAAAATGTTTAAAAAATTCGATCTAAAATTTTTTTTTAAATATTATGAGATTGTGAGTTTTGCACTATGACTATTTATTTCTGTTGGAAAAATAATTTCTCTGGTTTTTTTTGCTACAGGCTATTTATTAGAGGAAGCAAGGAAGCTGTATCCTAAATTGTACCCATGTTTAACGTTATTTGTGGCTTTTATTGATCAAATTTTTTGTATCTTTACTAAATAATTATGCAAAGATCATCAATAACATTAAATAGACATAAAACATCCTGTAGATAATATTATAAATAATAAGTGGTAAAAGTCGGTTTGGTAGATCTTGAGATATTTTGTCCACCAGTTCGAAAAAAAAAAGGAGATTTGAAATATACACAAAGGAATCTAAAGTCAGCGGTTTTAAACATTTTTTGTATGTGTTACTTTTAATCTGCGATTCATGGAAAATTCCAAGTTCTTTATTTTATCTTTCTTTTTTCTAAACACTATTATTATACAAAAGGTTGTAATAATTGAAATGTAAATGTTTGTTCTCCCATAAAATTGGAACACAATTTTATAAACAAAACAGATAATATAGATAGTAAAATATCAAATAGCTTACAACTTATAGTAATCTTTTTTATCAAACTTATATCAAACTCATTGTATTTCACATCTGATAATCTGAGAAATTGCAGTAGACGCCCAAACAAACGTTATTACTTATTACACAAAAGTAATGTGAGTACTCGTTATATATTCGCTGTTAATAATGTACCTATTTATTAAATAGGTGCTGAGTGTATTTTTGATAATTAGTACGTGCAAACTTTTGTGCAACTAACAAATCACAAATTACACAGTTGCGTAATTTGCAATGTTTTACTATTAATTCTAAGAAAACTAAAAAATATTATGTCAATGCAATATTAATGGTAGGTATGCAATGATGATTTTGAAATAATCACACAATTTTTTTTCTGGGTAACGACGAAAGTTGTGTCAGACTTGTTTGTTCCGTATGTCATGATCTAACTCCTTAGTCGGGAAGTTATTATGTACTATGTAGGACTGTGAAGGTTACGAGCTCATCGCAAACAGTGCGACGTTCAAAAATAACATGACAAAAATTAACCAATAAATCCGAATCTGCGAAAAAATTAAAAAAAAAATTTCTTGACCTAAGGAACCATCTCGTAAAATCTTTCAACGTTTTTTCCGGACAGCCTGTATTAAACCCAAATTCTTTGAAGTTGTAGTATATTATTAACTCACTTCGTACATTTTTAGATTTATTGAAATGAAGAAAGATGATGACCAACGAGAGAAAAGAGACAGACCGCTTTTGTATATAAGATGGAATTTTTTTAAAAAAGACATTAAGGATGTTCTTATTGTAATTTTTGCCATCGCAGTGGTTTTTATTATTTTATACTTAAAAAATCTTTTGCCCAAACAACTTTTTTTGGTAAGTAAATAACAACGTTACCCTCAACTTTACTTTTAAATATTGTGTAGTTTTATTTACAAAGTTGAATTGTGACAAAAGTATGCAACCAATTATACAGAATGATTTTTGTAGGGCCTACACATTCGAAACTTTTTAACTTTCAATATAGCTACGGCTTTAAAATTTTGAATGCGACCAAAATCAACAGTTTTCAATGTCACTAAATTATTTTTAAAATATTTGAATTTTCGGAACTGACAAAAAATTGCCGCCAACTTTGAAATTTTATATGGAAAGGACCTTCTCAAACTGAGTAAAGCAAACCCATTTGTTGGTACTTATCTGTTATAGTTTTTGACACACTTATGTCAATTTTTTTGTAATTTATTTTATTTGCAGGGGTCTATTCAAAAAAATACAGCTTTTAAACCCATTGCAATAAGTAAGTTATTTGATAATGAATGAGTTAAAAACTAATTAAGTGACAATTATTAATTATTTTCCAAAGCCTACTTGATTAACGATGAAAATAAAAAGTCAAAATCCGTTTTTCGTAATTATTTCAAAAACTGAAGGACATCTGACAAAAGTTTACATAAAAATTGATGTTCTTTCGATTGCCGTTGAGAAAATGGGGTCATGCTATGTGAAAAACAATTATATTTTCAAAAAATCATATTAGCCTTGAAATTTGAGTTGACAATGTTGAATTACTTTAAAAAATTTCTCAAACCTGTGGTTATCAAATGTAAAAAAAAATCACTTATTGAAAAGGGTTCAAGAACTGAAATTTTGTGAATGGACCCCTGCAAATAAAAATTTCGACAAAAAATTGACATATTTCAAAAAAACTATGACAAAGAAGTACGAACGACTTGGGTACGTTTTACTCAGTTTGAAAAAGCAAATTCAAAAATGCACTAAAAAATAGATGGTTTTTATTTAAAGTTTTAAAGTTGGCACCAATTTTTAATAGTTCCAGGAGTTTAGCCATTTTGTAAATAATGTAGTTGAATTGAGAATGGTCGATTTTGGTTACATACAAAGTTGAAAAGTTTCTAATGTAGGCCCTAGAAAAATCACCTGTATAGAAGGGTATACAAAAGCCAATACCAGACCTGGGTGGAGCCATATTGCGCACAAACTTGAGAGGGGAACAAAGCAGTGGTGTACCAGTGTCACGGAATTTTGTTATTTTTTCTTTTATCTAAATATTTTAAATTTAGCTTGAACCGGTGCAGGGTCCAATTTCAATAACATAACCTTACTTTTTTATAAGAACACCGATAATGTTTTTCTTTTTTTTTGGTAATGAATTTCTTAAAATGATAGAACATAAAAACACCAATAAGATCAAAGCTATATTAGCAATAATCAAAAGTGCAGTTTAAATTTAATTTTTATAATGAGCTTTAAATAGTTTTTTTTTATAGTCCTTTTGTAAATATTACAAATCTGCACGACACTGCTTTATGTCAACTTCAAAAACTTTTCCATTCTTAGAATTGGACTCGTTTGGGACGCGTTTTGATCATCTATGTATATACGCCCAGGTGTGTACTTTTGGCTTTTACCCCACTCTACTAGTCTAGTTTTACTTATCTAAGTAGCACATGCGCTCTGATTCTGAATTCTAATTTTTACAAGTTTTGACAAGTTTTAGTGCCTTTAGTAGTGTGTTTTTTTTCTAAATAAAAATAAATTTTTGGATTATTGGAGTTAAAAAGTGCATACTGGTATACGACTGTCATAATTATTTATTAATTTGTCTTATTTTTTTTAATTGCATCAGAGCAAACAAACATCAGATAAACAAAAGGTTATATTTTGCCGCTAACCACTTGCTTAATAATTTATTTTCTATTCTATTATTATTCTAATATGTATATTATTTTTCCAAAACATTTCACATTTCACAGTCATACATAAAATCAGATTTTGAAAACTGGGAAAATTTATTGTGCAATATTTTTTTTGTAGACATAAGATGGGTCCAACCATGAACAACCATTCAACTGCTTTTTGGAAATTCTGCAAGGACGACTGTAAGGGTATTTTTGTGGTTCTAGCAATCGTAACAATTTGCGTACCAATGTCTATGTTTGTTGTTTATTGTATTCAGCGTTTTTTAAAAGATTCAAGAGAAGATATTTCACAAAATCAGCAAACTAAACACAAACATGAAGAACCTCAGGAAACGAAGAAACGTCCACAATTAAAATTTCTAGTGAAGGATCTTGAAGTTAGAAACATTAACGGTTATAATCATTTTAAGAATTTTAATTATGTAATATAAAAAATGTTATGTAGGTACTTTTTATTTATGCCAAACGTAAATTTTATGTTGTGTTTCAGTTGATTTGCTTGTATTAAAAAATAATAACATATTTCTCTTTTAATTTGTTATTTTTTCCAATTAGGAAATTAATGTAGGTATTTATGAAATTTTATACTTACTTCTTTGGTTACAGACTTATCACTCGAATATAGTGCCAAATACCTCCTTAGGGTTTGTTTAAAAACAACATTCTAAAAAATATTTTTGCATTTTTAAATTCACAAAAATGTGAAATTAACTTACCCTAAACATACATTTGTGACAAACCAATGCAATTACAAATTTCTCCAAAATTCCAACACTGACATAAATAATCGCAGCCACTGAATACTTCAAATACGGGCTGTGATTATAAATACTTGACACAATGTTATAACACTGAATTGTCAACAATAAAAAACTTAAAGCGAAAGAGAAGAGAATTTGTGCTGAAAATATAGAATTCACTAATTTCAAAATCCCATACAAGTCGTGATAAATACACATTAATCGCTTCAAAATAAATTTCCTGTTACTTTTTGAATGCTCAAGTGATGTTTTAGTCTTTTCTATCATTTTTTCATGAATGTGACTTACAGTTCGAATTAGTGTTAAATATGAACAAATCACAGACATGTGATGTAACATTCCGAAATACAGCAATCCGTAAGCAAACATGGCTTTGTATTTGTGAGCAAAACTTTGACTTAGTAACAAATACAGAAAATAAATGTTGATACTGAGCAAACCAAGAACCAAAAATCTGACTATAGAGGTTCTGACATAGTTATAATCCAAGTGGATGTTTAAATTTTTGATATTGATATCAATAAGACAAAGATCTTTCCTTAATTTCACTGTTGAGTTTCCATGTATTTTGGTCCAAATGAAACTGACAAAAGTAAACCCTGCAACGGTAACAAAATACATAATGTTGATGAATTTCATTAAAGTGTTTTTTTCCAAATCTTCTGATAACAGTTGATTGAATTGACACATTATGTATATTACCATCAGTAAAATTATTATTACAAATGTAGAATGGTCATAAATTAATTTAATTTGTTTTCCATATTTATGCTTTTTTGATAACTTAAATAGCGCACTTCCCATTAAAAACTGGGGAAAACATAAAGGATATAGAGCTGATGTTATATTGGTTGGCTTCATTTTCTTTTAATTTTCTTACAAACTGATATGTAGGTCGAATAATGTTTTAATAATGTTTCTTGATTAAATTGTTCAATATTATCAGAGTGAAATTATTTACTTAACCGACTTGTTTTAATTAATTGAAAAATAATGTGACTACCACTCGTATTGATCCTCCATCTTGACGACAGTTACTTTTTAGGAAGCTAGGGTTGTAAATTAAATGCAATTGTTAGTAAAGAGGTGTTGCAAGTGAGATCGCACAAAAGTTGAAATTAGGAAACGACCTTCGAAACTTTGCAATAAGCCTCAGCTTGAAATTAAAGCCGATATTGTCAGAAATTTTACGGTTTAGTGAGAATATAAAAATCATCACCAAATCGTAAAATTTTGGACAACTCCATCATTGTCCACCAGGATTTTGACAAATTTGTGGATCATTACCTACCTATACCCGCATGAGACATCAAAAATAAAATAAATAATAATAAAATGAGACTATTGTCTCATCGAGAAAACAGTTCGTTTTTATTATTTCATCCCTAAAACTACCCACTTTTTTAATAGTTGATAGAAAATAAAAGTTAAACATTTTACGTAAACTTATAGAACTTTTGTAGCCGCATTTGCTGCCACTAAAGTTCAACCTCTCCATTCTTGCAAAAAATCAGTTTTTTAACGATTTTAAGTTTTAAATATTTTTTTAACTTGACAATACTTTACAAATAACGTAAGGACTATCAGCCGCACTTGCTGCCACCACCACTCAACCTCTCACTCTTCCCGGAAGAGTAGTTTAAATTTAAACAAAAAAAATATATAAATTTCTTGTGCTGATAGTTTTATAAACGACACTTACGACAGTAACATCTTTTGAAAGACATAATTATAAATATGGGAAAAAGTGAAAATTGTCAATTGCGGCCGTTGAAAACTAAGACACTTTGACAAATCCAAAATTTTGTCATTGGGGCATTTGCCCTGAGACTGAAGTTTCTGAAATGTCATTCAGATAATACGAATCAGTATCATAGAATAGAAAACTTTAGTCCAAAAAAATTAAATTTACGTTTTGTAGACAGAAATAACTAGTATTTTATTGTAACACTATTTGAATTCAAGAAATTGAAACTGACATTGTCATCCTTGATTAAAACCTACTTTACAAATTTTTAAATTAGCAAATAGTATGCCAAACTAGTAAATGTGGTCAAATCCTATCGGATTTGATTAAGAGTTTTATTTTTATTTAGCAAAGTGTCTTTTAGATTGTAAAAAATAATATTTAAGTCACTTCGAGTAGCTTCAGGTCGGTTCAAGTCACTTTAGGCCACTTTGGATTACTTCGGATTACTTTGGCTTGGAGTAAAAAGAAAATGTTAAATGTACTGACTTTGATTTTCAGAGGAAGAAAAAGTCTTAGGAAAATGTTTAAATTTAGTAGTAAATTTAGTAATCCAATCGAGACGTTTCAAAACATCGTACTACAAAAGACAGTTGGGGAGACTAAGAAAGTGTCAGATGTATTGGTTTAAAAAATTTCTAGAGTTGCAAAAAACATTTAAAAATTTCTTAAAGGAATGCTTAAATTTATAAAAATTCCAATCCAGACTTTTCAAAACATTGTGCTACAATTAATTGTGATTGGTTATTTTATGTTGGTGGGGTAGACAGGCAGATCAAGTATTATAACGGCGCTAATTATAACATCACTTAACGCGCAAAATACAAACTATTCTCATTCTAAAAAAGTACATTAAGAAAGTTAGCCTTCTTGCTTATGTAGGTATGTACCACTTGTAATCATAAATATTATTATAAGAATTGTAATAGGAATGGATTGGTTTTGAATAACATAGATATTTCGATGCTAAAAAAATTTTCATGAAAACTTTTTAATGGAATTAATTTAATATTGTAATCATAATAAAAAAAGTATGTACATATATCGTCACAATTTTTTTTATATTTAAGTCCAGGAGGAAAAACTTTTAAATGAAAAGACGGCACCATTGTCGACAAAGCCAAAAAATGTTTACCAAGTTTACTTATACAAATGTTTTGTTACAACACAATTCTGCCATTGAGAAGTAATTCAAACGAAAGAACAGACTTTTATCTTTAGTTGAGATCACCACAACCATACCTGGAATATTTAGAAATACGCCATATTTTGTGTTTCGATAGTCTTTGTTGCATGAGTTTTGATAATATACTTATCGCACAAAAATACCTAGTTATATACGATGAGTCATTTATGCTTTACTTACCATATTTTGTTGCTAAATTTTAGCTGCAGTTTTGTCAAGTTTGCAAAAACTTTGCAATAATTTTTAAAAATCCATTATTATTTGTTTTAAATTTTTCTGGAATGTTTGACATTGATAAAAAAGTATAATTTATTTCTGGTAGCTAACCAGAAGTAAAAGTTTTACTATTTTGTTGTATTTTCTTTTTTTAACAATTAGTATATGTAATCCGTAGAAAGAATAA